TTTTTTTTTTTTTCATTTTATGTTTTTTTTTTTTTTTTTTTGCTTATGGTTCCAGATAGCCACTTTATGAAGGTCATTTTATAGTGCTGTCATAGATTCATTTTTCTTAGTTATTTAGAGCATACAGGTGGGGACTAGAGAAGTGGCTCAGATTAAGAGCACTGGCTGCTCTTCCAGAGGTTCTGAGTTCAGTTCCCAGCAACCACATGGTAGCTCACAACCATCTGTAATGAGATCTAGTGCCCTCTTCTGGCATTCAGTACATTTTTTTTTTTTAATTTAAGAAAAAGCATATTAGGCAGGCCTGGAAATAGTATGCACAAAGAGTCTTCATATCTGGTAAAAAAAAAAAATACTTTGTGGTTGATGCCTTGGAGAGGCCTTAGTAGTCATAATGTAGTTTCCATAGTTCTCCATCCTTTTGAAATGCCTCACAGCTCATAATTGACCACATTTGCTCTAGTGAAGCCCTGGGTGTCCCAGTAGTCAAGGCAGCTGAGCTTGTCATTGCACTTTGGAAAGCAGAAGCCTAGCATAAGATAGTAGCAGTGCTCTCACTATGTACTTTTTATTTCCTTAATCAGTATTTACATAGAGACATCACTTAGATGAAGTTTTCTGCTTTTTAAATTTTACTTTCTCATTTAGAAATGCTTCAGCATGAGACACAAACTAATATAATGAGCCTTCATCTCCCCCTTTTCTTAGAGTATTTTAAAGTAAATCCAGGGCAATAAATTATTCTACCTATATCTAGTAATGTTACCACCATAGTATTTTGCTTTAAGTAAGTAGTAATGTCATACCCACCAAAATTAGTAACAGTTTCTGAATATCTGAAACTTTGCATGTTATAATTTCCTCCTGAAAATTTATGGTTAGTGCAGACCATAGAAGTTGGCAGATGATGGAGCATGATTTTGATCCCAGCAGGGGGGCAGGCCAGGGGCAGCGTAGACCTGAGTTCCAGGACAAGCCAGGGCTGTTGCATGGAGACTGTTGCACCCTGTTTTCAAAAAACAAACAAAAGTTGATGACATTTATCCTAACTATTTTGGGTAAGGGAAATAGTTAAAGTACTGCTGCTCGCTCAGTGTTGCTTCCCATTAGGGAGTATACAATGTCTGGAAATGTTTGTAATCAAGTTTCTATAAGACAAAATGAGGTCTATTCCTTTGCCCGAAACATAGTTTATACAGGAGCGGGATAAAGGCTCTCTCCCACCACCACCCCTTCTTCAGTCACTAATTTTACAGATAAGGAGTTAGGGTCAACAATCACCCTAGTTGAGTCTGATGAAGAAGGGATTTTGTTGGTTCTGTTTGCATTAATAAACATTCTTACTTCAGCCTTGAATCAGTCATCTCTAAGAACCTTGTTCCTTTTTGGGGAAACAATACTTAAAGATAGTCAGTAAATCTCATTTTTTTTGCTATGGGTCTGTTTTTAAATTATAAAAAATAAAAAAATAATTTTCTATGTGTAGTATGCATGTATGCATATATATATAATAAGAATTTGTATTTAGATGGTTAGTAACTATGAGAGAATGAATGAATTGCTGATTGTTGGGGTGTTGTGATTTTTTTTCTGTTTCACCAACAAGTCATAATCCTTCTGTTGTTTTATGTTAAAGTAGTCAAGAGGAAATTTCATAGTTAAAGTTTCCATTGTGAGAAGGCTTTACCTGTTCATATCTTTTTTATTAGAATGGTGTGCTGCTGAGAACTGTCCTAGACCCAGTCACTGGGGACTTGTCTGACACTCGAACTAGGTACCTGGGGTCCCGTCCTGTGAAACTCTTCCGAGTCCGAATGCAAGGACAGGAGGCTGTAAGTAATAAAAAGAGATTTGGATATTGGTGCCACTGTGAACTTTTTGACTAATTCACTTTGTACATGGTTTTCCTATATGTAAGGAATCCTGGGTTCTTTTGAGAGGGGTTGTGGGAACAGGGTTTCTCTGTGTATCCCTGGCTGTACCGGAACTAGCTCTGTAGATCAAACTGTCGTAGAACTCAGAGGTCCATCTGCCTCTGCCTCCTGAATGCTTAGATTAAAGGCGTGCGCCACCACTACCTAGCTGTTCTGGGTTCTCTAACCTAGAGTTTTCTGAGAATTACTTCATGGCGTAGCACTGTGACATTGTGAGGTTATAGAAAATTTCAGTATTGATCCTTTGAATCTTTTCTTTAGGCTGGGCTACCAAGAATGGGAAAAGCTGGAAACCTTGCATTTATGGCAGGATTATAGTGTTATTTATTGTGACTCTCTACCTAATAGAAAAGAGAGCCTAGGCTTTGTGCTAGTTCTCAAAGATACCTTATTTAATTCTACAGCTATCCAGCCTTGTAATAGACTCTCGTTTATGTTTCTGAGAATTGTGATTATTGTAGCTTGATGTTCTTGTTTTTCTATACAACAAGCCTTACGATGTCTCTTCTTTGGGCTCCCTTTGCTTAAAAGTGCCTTTGTGGGTTTCTAAAATTGGAGACCAAAGTTGAGGTTATGTGTTTGGTCAATCTACTGTGCTTGAGCTTTCCCGGTATGATTGGAGCTCTTTCCTCTCCAGGTTTTGGCCATGTCTAGCCGCTCATGGCTGAGCTACTCCTACCAGTCCCGTTTCCATCTCACCCCTCTCTCTTACGAGACTCTGGAGTTTGCATCTGGCTTCGCCTCTGAGCAGTGTCCTGAAGGCATTGTTGCCATTTCCACCAACACTTTGAGGTGAGAAAAACCTTATTTTGGGGCAATGCGAAGGCCTCAGCCTGTGGTTCTGCCGGAGTTGGAGTTTGTACAGCAATGGCTAAGAGCCACCTCTTTACCGGGAGTGGGTGTTGCAGTTGAAATTTAGTTTGGCTCAGGATTTCAGTGCTTGGCGTTTAGCTTCTGTTTAGACTTTTTTGGAGCCAAGTTTTAAAACTTATTACACTGTAGTCTTATACTTTAAGGTTCATGTTTCCTGATGAAATGGTCGTGTCACTGGATTAGTTTTAGAGCAAGTGTTAAATCTCTTTTAACTCTTACTGTGTTTTCATCTACCGAATTATATCTTCATTTTAATTAATTTGCTGTGTAGCTCTGGCTGTCCTGGAACTAGCTCTGTAGAACAGACTGGTCTGGAATCTAGAGATCCACCTGCCTCTGCCTCCTGAGTGCTGGGATTGAAGGCGTGCGCCACCACTGCCCAACAGAAATACAATTTTGAAAGAGTGAAATTAAACTGTGTGGTAGTTCATGTTACCTCTAATTCCAGTTCTGTGAGGAAGGTAAGAGGTCAAAAATTCAGGGTCATCCTCAGGCACGTGAAGCTCAAGGCCAGCCATACATGGTGATGGATCAGAGAAAAAAGAACTGAGAGTGACATGGTGACCCCTCAAAGTTCATAGTAGCCAAGAAGATAGACTTACTGTTTCACCCCATTCTTGTAACTCTTGCTTTATGTCTTTGGTTCTAGTTGTCTTCATAGGTGTGCAGTGGTTTTAAAACACTGGTGTTTTCCTAATATCTAGCGATGTTTTGTGTTTTTGTTTGGTTGGTGGGGTTTTTTTTGTTGTTGTTGTTGTTGTTTGGTTTTTTGTTTTTGTTTTTTTGAGATGGTGTTTCAGCCCTGTCTGCCGTGGAACTCTACTCTGTAGACCAGGCTGGCCTTGGCCTTGAACTCACAGAGATCCACCTACCTCTGCCTCCCAGTGCTGGGATTGAAAGCATATTCCACCACCACCTGGATCAATATTTTTAAGTGTTTATTGACTGTACTTCAGAGTGATGTCTGTTCAGATCTATTGCCCTTTTGGTTTTTTTGAGACAGGGTTTCTCTGTGGCTTTGGAGCCTGTCCTGGAACTAGCTCTGTAGACCAGGCTCGTCTCGAACTCACAGAGATCCACCTGCCTCTGCCTTCCAGTGTTGGGATTAAAGGCGTGCGCCACCATCGCCGGCTATTGCCCATTTTTTAAACTAGATAGTTGGGAATTTTCGTTTGTTTCCTCTCATTCGTGTGTGTGTGTGTGTGTGTTAAACCAAATTGTATATCAGTTGGTTTTCCATTACCTAACTGGGGCAAGTAACTTAGTAATGGTTTATCTGGGCTCATGATTTTGGAGGTTCTGTTCCATGATTGTTTCATTGTTCTTACTACTTTGGACAGGTACTGAGCATATGATGGGGCAAAACAACAATTTAGTGAACAAAGTCAGGAAATGAACCAGTGCATGCAGCAGACCCCTTTGAAGGCATACCCTCAAGACTTCCCACAGGCCCCACATCATAAAGGTTACCTAGCCTCCCACTATCATTGCTCAGGGCATCAAGCCTGTGGCACATGGATGTTTGGGAGACATTCAAGCAGCAAATTCTAAAGAGTTCTTTATATATTCTAAATTCAGGTTTTCTATCAGATAGTTTGAGTGTTTTCTCCTATTTTATGAGACTTTATTTTAGAAGATGTCTCACTATGTTGAGGCTTGGACCTTATTTGCCACCATGCCTGATCAAAGTATAATTTTAAGTAACTCTGAATGCCCTGTCATATATATATATAGTTGGTGTGAAGGTGTCAGATCCCCTGGAACTGGAGTTACAGACAGTTAATAACTGTGATGTGGGTGTTGGGAATTGAACTTGGGTCCTCTGGAAGAGCAGTTAGTGCTCTTAACCACTGAGCCATCTCTCCAGCCCATATCCTGGCTTTTTTATTTTTAAAATAAATGTCTTTTCTAAGCATGTAAGTACTCTCTAACTGGCCATTTATGTTAGTTTACATAGCTTAATATATTTGAGTCCATGTATAGGCTAGTAGTGTGTGAATATATTTCCTCCTAGTCACATAATAAGCATACTGTATATATTGCTTTATACCATGCTTTTCTCATTTAATGATATATTTTAGTAATTACTCAATATTATGAAGTTCTGTTACATAGATGTAGCATAGTTCATTTATCTAGTATTTTCTTGAATGCTTTTGTTTTGTGATTGTTATGAGGGTGAGCAGTGAAATCAGCAAGAAGTTTTGTGAAGTCCTTTTTCTTCCACCCTTTACCTTTATCTGCTGAGCCATCTTACCAGCCTGATTTTCACTTTAAATGTATTTTTATTCATGATTATTTTTGTGGTATATAATTATATTTGTGGTGTGAGAGAGAGAATGAATGGAATATACTAGACAGCACTCATGGAGGTCAGAGGGGAACCCTTCGGAGTTGGAGTCAGTTTTCTCCCCTTCCTCTTTTCATGGTTTTTAGGGCTTGAACTCAGGTTTATCAAGCTTGTCCACCCAGAACCTTAGCCTAGGGGGCTGGAAAGATGGTTCAGCAGTTAAGAGCACTGGCTGCTCTGCCAGAGGCACTGGGGTCAATTCCCAGCAAATGGCAGCTCACAACTATCTATAATTCCAGTTCTGGGGGACCTGACACCCTCATAGAGACATATATGTAGGCAAAACACCAATACTTATAAAATAAAAATAAATCTTAATAAAAAGGAATCTTAACCCGCTGGAGCCATCTCTTGATAGTGGTGTTAATGTTTTTAACAGTGCTGCAGTGAAAATCCTGGTGACTGTGTCAGTCTGACTGTTAGAATGAATTTTTGGCTATGTTACTTAGAGCAGCATGTTTCATTTGCCATGTTAGAGAATTAAACTTGCCAGTCTTTGTGCCGTTTCCTTAAAGACTAGGATCTTTTTTCTAAATTGTCTTTCTCGTATTCGAAGTTTAATTTACAGTTGGCAACATATCTCTTTCTAGCTTGCAGAATTTTATTTGTAATGTACATTTCATGTATATTATCACTCATCCACTTGGGTGTCTGTATGTTATTGGAAAGAATGTGTAGGTCTTGGTGCTTGTTGATTCTTGCATTGTCAAAGATTTCCAGAAGCCGGGGTGGTTCTTGTTCAGAAGAGCATCCATCTTATTTTATGAAACATGGTAAGTAAGGTACTCAATCACAAGGAGAAACTGCATGTGGTAAAAACTTGTTCAGCTGTTGTGATTCATTATGCCTCTGTGGAAAAACATGTTTTTGCCACGTGCCGCTTGTTCTTGTGATTGAACACCTTACTCATGTAACTCTAAATTAATTGTTTGAGTCTCTGAATAAAATTGACTATTGCATGAGAGTTTAGTCCCCATTTTCCTAAGTTCAAAAGGGGCGAGCATTCTCCACCTTTTTCAAGACAGGATCTCTCATTAAAATGAATTTGCCAGTTGGCTAAACTGGCTGCTCTCAAGCTCCAGAGATCCTCTTGTCTTTTTCCTTAGCACAGGTATTAATAGAGCCCTGTTTTTTACATGGGTTTTGGGATGCATCGTTCTGGTCCTCAGGGTTCCATACAAACACTTTACCAACTGAACCTTCTCCTTGGCTCATGAACTTCATACTCTTGTATTAACTATGGAATGAAAAATTTTGACCATTTTAATATATTTTCGTGATGAAAACAAAATTGCAGTGAAAAGTTGGGATGTGTTGCCAAAGAGAAACCTTTCTGATTTTTGTCTTTTAAGCTTAGAGAGCTGTCATCTCATGTTGCCTGATGTCATTGTTAGAGCCTCCACAATTGTGTGTTGTGGCTGGTCATGGTTCATCTCATCAGTTACTGGGCTGAGTGAGTGACTTTTTTACTCCCCTGTCTGTTACTGTAGGATTTTGGCATTGGAGAAACTTGGTGCTGTCTTCAATCAAGTAGCCTTTCCACTGCAGTACACACCCAGGAAATTTGTCATTCACCCTGAGAGTAACAACCTTATCATCATTGAGACAGATCACAATGCCTACACTGAGGCTACAAAAGCTCAGAGAAAGCAGCAGATGGCAGAGGTAATTACTCTGACCTCCAGAGGTGCAGTTTTAAAAATGAAATTGTTAGAAAAGTTGAAATTTAAAACATTTATAATTATCTCCCTTCCTGCACCCCCAGCCTGCCCAAGCACACACACACACACCCCTTGGAAACAGGGTGTCAGACCATAACTCTGGCTCACTGGGAACTCTAGGTGATTCTGCTCCCCAAGTGCTGAGATTATTTGTACGCCATCACACATAGCTGTAGACTTTTTTGTTTTGGTTGGTTGGTTTTGCCATGCAGTCTTGGCTGTCTTGGCACTTGCTATGTAGAGCCAACTACAACTAGCCTTGAATTTACAGAGATCCGCCTGGCTTCACCTTCAGAGTGCTGGGATTAAAGATGTGCCTCACACCTGACTGGCTGTCTTTGTTACTTTTGAAAGAACCAAGCTTTGTATATAAAGTGGTATAATGCATGTCTGACATGTCCAAAGCTCTAGGTTAAATTCCTAGGAGTACAAAATAAGGCTAAAACCATAAACCAGGCCCTTTTCAGGACCTTTAAGTGAAGTTCTTTGCCTGGTTTATTGCTTTTAGAAGCTTTCTTGTGGCCTGGGACAAATATGCTGGATTACTCAAAATTCAGCTCCCTCTTTGGAACTGCTCTTTAGTTCTTGAACCTCCAGAATATGCTGTGTTATATGATGCCTGAATTTGAGCCTAGAGAGCCCAGATTTCCCCTATAGTACCAGCTTATCAGAAACTGTTTGCCAACTAGACCAGCCGTGTGGGAACCATAATCAGTTTAAAGGAAAAGAGATAACTGGCCTTGGCCAGGGAAAGCAGAGAACACTTTGGAAAGCAGGTTTTAATTTCTGGGCTGTTGGTGGTGGTGGGGGGGTGTGGGCTTTTTTTTTTTTTTTTTTTTTTCCAGAAATTGTTGGCACTTCTCAGATGTCTAACTACTAGTATTTGGCTTTCCTTTTAGTGATCTCCTTATTTGCATTTCTCTTTGAATTTTTTTTTTAAATTTTATATTGGAGTGGTTGAGTGCAGACATGAATATGGTGTTCAGTATCTTTTGTAGGGGGTGGGGTTCTAACTCAGATTGTAGACCACAAGTGCCTCTGCCAGTGGAGCTGTCTCAATGCTCTTGAGCCTCTGTTTGGGGGATTCTGGTTTGAGGTGACAGACTTTACTACTTCTCATTTCTTACCTCTTCTTGCTTTTTGCATTTAGGAAATGGTGGAAGCAGCAGGAGAGGATGAGCGGGAGCTGGCTGCAGAAATGGCAGCAGCATTCCTCAATGAAAACCTCCCTGAATCTATTTTTGGAGCTCCCAAGGCTGGCAATGGGCAGTGGGCCTCTGTGATTCGTGTGATGAACCCTATCCAGGGGAATACGCTAGACCTTGTCCAGCTGGAACAGAATGAGGCAGCCTTCAGGTAGGATGTGAGATTATCTGGGTGTTGGTAGTGTGATTGAGGGTTCTTGGGGTTTTGACTAATGCCTGCCTTTTCCTTCTTTGTCTATTCGTAGTGTGGCAGTGTGTAGATTCTCCAACACTGGTGAAGACTGGTATGTGCTAGTGGGTGTGGCCAAGGATTTGATATTGAGCCCTCGCTCTGTGGCAGGGGGCTTTGTCTATACATACAAGCTTGTGAACAATGGAGAAAAGTTGGAGTTTTTACACAAGGTAAGAACCAGCTTGATTTTTTTTGTTTTGTTTTGTTTTGATTCTCTTGGATCTTATATTTTGCTGGATTCTCCCACTTTGTGCTAAACTTCTGGGTCAGGTCTTTGGTTTGTGGGTGGGGGATTAGATGTTTTGTTCTTGTTTTGAGACAGTCTCGCTTTATGAGACTTAACCTCATAAAGATCTTCCTACCTCTGCCTTCTGAGTGCTGGGATTACAACACCATGCCAAACTGAGTTGAATCTTTTGGACAGTAGTTTGTTGACTAATTGATCTTTGGGAAGCATGTGGAATATACCAGGACCTTCATGCTTGAGTGATGTTCCTGTGCCTGGCGCAGGAAGCCTGGCTTCTCACCACCTACAATGGTGAGAACACAGTGAATTGGCCCCTTGTTTACTGTGTTACTAAGCAGGCAGCAATCCGTGTCTAGAATTCATCATCAGCTAAAGAATTAATAGGTTCAAGGAAGTTACTCTTTAATAGAACAGTTTTAGTTTGGGGAAACAATAAGCGTTCTGTACATGATGCTGGTTATTACTGCAGTGTGAATACACTTAATGCCACTGAAATATATTCTCTAAAATGTAATTTTTTTGTTATTTATCTTTTACTACAATCTAACTAGTATTTTATGATCTGTCGTCTATTTAACAGTATCTGAATCTGATGCTTCCTCTGAGGAATATAAAATACCATGCTCCATTATGTTAAACATCTCTGTTTTAAAACTAAGGTGTCACTTTTCAGTAGCATTCTCTTCCCTTCACAAACCTCAGTTGCTTCTTCAAGCTTGACTTTGCTGTTAGTCGTGCTGTTAGCAAACTAGTACAGGCTTCTGAGCAGCACTTACCAGACAATGAGTATGCCTTACTTGCGGCATCTCTTGCTGGGTAAAATGTAACCCTTAGGACCTTTCTACTCAAATGCACTGTTTTGTGGGGACTGACTGCTGCATGTGCAATTTATTTATTTATTAAAGATTTCTGTCTCTTCCCCCCAGCCGCCTCCCCTTTCCCTCCCCCTCCCCCAATGCATGCGCAATTTATTTGTATGGTGAGCAAAGTGACACTTGTTGTCTGTCTTCTTGATGGCCGTTTATAGAAATAGTTCTGTGTCAAGGGTTAGGTGAATGTATTGTTGGCTGTGTGTTCTCTGAGCGCTGCCATGACATTCTTTTCCTTTCATAGACTCCAGTGGAAGAAGTTCCTGCTGCCATTGCCCCATTCCAGGGCAGGGTGTTGATTGGTGTGGGGAAGCTTTTACGAGTCTATGATCTGGGGAAAAAGAAGTTACTTCGAAAGTGTGAAAATAAGGTAAATGCACTGCTGTGGGCAGGATGGTGGCACTAGTCCTTAAAATCATTATTTCATTGGGAGTATCTTGAAAAAGAGACAGTAGATGATCTCATTTCTTGACTGCTCCAAACAGAATTGGATTTCTGGGACCAGCCTAGTGGGAGGAGAGAGCTGATTCCTGAAGGTCATCCTGTGACTTCCACATGTGCATATGTATGTGCACATACACAATTTAACATTTTTAAAGCCAAGCAAGGACTGGGGATTGTAACCGAGTGGTAGAGCACATGCCTAGTGTGTGTATCGCCCTGTGTTTAAACCCAGGACCCTATCCCCACCACCACCCCAAACCATCTGGGTACTTACTGTAGACTGTTATTTAATGTTTGCAGACTGTATATTGTAGTTGAGGAAACCTGGACTTTTAGGTTCTGGATTACAGATTCTCAATTCAAGGATTATACAAATTGCTATCTTTGTTTTTCCCTAGCATATTGCCAATTATATATCTGGGATCCAGACTATTGGGCACAGGGTAATTGTGTCTGATGTTCAAGAAAGTTTCATCTGGGTTCGCTACAAACGTAACGAGAACCAGCTCATTATCTTTGCTGATGACACCTACCCCAGATGGGTCACTACCGCCAGCCTTCTAGACTATGACACGGTGGCTGGGGCAGACAAGTTTGGCAACATTTGTGTGGTGAGTTGGTGACCATGACATGTGGGAAAGCTGGCTTAGTTTGTGGTGTGTTTAAACAAAGGAGCAAAGGTTATAGTCTCTAATTCAGAAAATTAAGTATAGGTATAGAATTCAGTCCTATTCCAGTCCTACCCTTAAGAAAGTTTATGTTCAACCTGTCCTACCTCTCTGGGAAACCTTAGGCCCTGGTTCACCTTCATTCTCTCCTCAGGACCTGGTTCAGTAATGATGAATTCAAGCAAGGTGCAGTGCCACACACCTTTGGTCCAATAAGCAAAAGACAAAGGCAGGCAGGTGCCTATGGTTTTGAGACCAGCCAAGGCCTGAATAGTAAGACACTGTCTCAAACAAAGTTGAGTTTAGTTTGAACTAAGTATTTTTTTTTTTATCTTTTGCCAAACTCTTGATATGTGGTTTTCGGCCAGCTTGATTTCTTAGACATTTGTGGTCTGTTTTTGCTCTTAGCAGTGTTGAACCCTTGTTTGTCGCTTGTTCTCTGTGGCTTCTCACTACTAAACAGCAGAAGACAGGCTCTGTCTAGGTTGTTTGCTAAGACCCAAGGCAAATGTGCTGGTGAGCTGGGTAAGCTTGCACAGGACCCAGTCTAAGATGGTATCCCTTTTTAGGTGAGGCTTCCACCTAACACCAACGATGAGGTTGATGAAGATCCCACCGGAAACAAAGCCCTGTGGGACCGGGGCTTGCTCAATGGGGCTTCACAGAAGGTAAGATTGCAAAAATAGCCCAAGAGAAAGCACACCTGATACCTTTTCTATGGTCTTTCATTTGTAATGTATGAATATTGTGGTTTTCATAAGGTGATCATATCACCATCCCATCTTTTTTTTTTTTAAATTTATTAAAGATTTCTGTCTCTTCCCCACCTCCGCCTCCCCTTTCCCTCCCCCTCTCCCATTCAAGTCCCCCTCCCTCGTCAGCCCAAAGAGCAAACCAGGCCAAACACCATCCCATCTTTATAAGCAAAATTTTCTTTTTCTTTTCTTGTTATGGTTGTTGTTAGGACCTGTCCTGGAACTCAATCCGTAGACCAGGTTAGCCTTGAACTCACAGATATCCGCCTTCTTCTGCCTCCCTAGTGCTGGTATTAAAGCCATGTACAACCACTGCCTAGCAATACACAAATTTTTCTATTTATGATTTATATTTATTATTTTTAAATGTATGTGTGTTGTAGTATGTGCACATGAATGCAGGTGGCTGTGGAGGCCAGAGGAGTCAGGTCCCCATAGAACTAGAGTTTATAAGTATTTGTGAGCCACCTGATATGGGTGCTGGGAGTCGAGCTCCAGTCCTGGAAGTGCAGTGCATGCTCTTAACTTGATTTATTTAAAAAAAACAAAGCCCAAAAAAGTTCTATTTATCCTAGCACCTGGGTCATTGTGGGGGGGGGGGCGTTAAACCTAAAATAATGGTGGTTTAATGATTTTCTTTCTCTCTTTCTTTCCTTTGGAAAGAATCCCAGTGTCCAATTACCCCGAAATGTGCTGTATAACACAACCCACCTGTACTTGTCTAAAAGGGTTTTTAAGTGGTAGTTGATGGTTGTAAATTATCTGAACTTTGTGCTTTTGGAACACAAAGCTTTAAGTGATAAAAAAAAATATTAAAGCATCTTTAGATTGGTTTTGGGTTTTATTTTATTTTTAAATATTTATTTATTATGTATACAATATTCTGTCTGTGTATGTCTGCAGGCCAGAAGAGGGCACCAGACAGCATTACAAGATGGTTGTGAGCCACCATGTGGTTGCTGGGAATTGAACTCAGGACCTTTGGAAGAGCAGGCAATGCTCTTAACCACTGAGCCATCTCTCCAGCCCCCTTGTTTTGGGTTTTAAAGGCTGGCAAATGGTGCTAAGGTGTGACTTAGTTGGTAGAGTGTTTGCCTGGCATTCATGCCTGAGGCCTACAGGGGAGAGGTGTGTGACATGCCTGGAGGCTCTTAGAAATACAGGACAGAATTGGGAAGGGCTTACCAAACTGTTTTTGATTTGCAGGCAGAGGTCATCATGAACTATCATGTCGGTGAGACGGTGCTGTCATTGCAGAAGACCACACTGATTCCTGGAGGCTCAGAATCGCTGGTCTATACCACATTGTCTGGAGGGATTGGCATCCTTGTCCCTTTCACATCTCATGAGGTTGAGTTCCCACATTTCCTTTTTCTTATTCTTCTCAGATTGTTTCTTGGTGTTGAATCTGCCTAGGATAGTAAGCCGTTACTTTGAAGTAGTGTTCTGGAAATTGTATGAGGTGGCAGTTAACGTGCCTGGGAAATAGAATCTTGAGTTCTTTGAGGAAGGTCCTCTGTGCCGTGATGTAGGTACAGGGTTATATTCTGAGCCCAAAGCCTCAAAGCAGTAGTCCAAAGACCAGGAACAATAAACTGAGATTGATGTCTTATGGGACATGTTTGCTTGGCAAGAGTCAATGACTTAGAATTGGGCATGGTGGCACATAATGCCAAGACTCAGTAGGCCACTGTCCAGATGATTTCAAGTTGAAGGCCAGACTGGACTTTGTAGTGAGACCCTGGCTTTTGAAAGCTCGGTGTCCTGTCTGTACTTTGTTGTGGAAAGCATAGTCCAGCAGTTGAAATCACTTCTTTCTCAGAGATAGATTCTGTTTCTTCCTTTAGGACCACGACTTCTTCCAGCATGTTGAGATGCACCTGCGATCTGAGCATCCCCCTCTTTGTGGACGGGATCACCTCAGCTTTCGTTCTTATTATTTCCCTGTTAAGGTAAGTTGGAAAGGGAATCCTAAGCCCGTTCACTGACCTTTTCTGTTGGCCTCTTATTTATTTATTTATTTTTTTAAATCAAGTAGTTAGTTCTAGCTCAGTGTAGTGGTGCATCCTATAATCCCAGCATTGGAAGGCTGGTAGGAGGATCATGAATTCTGAACTAAACTGGGGTATTTATATAACTTGTCTTTGAAAATCAGTTGGGTTATACTCAGTGGTGGAATATTATAGTCAGAGACAAAGCTGCACTAGGTTTTGCCAGTCTGAACAATGGCTACTCGGCTGTGAGCATGAGTATTTTCATAGTATGTACCTTTTTCTTTAGACATCTTTATTTTTTCCTTCTCTGACTCTTCCATGTCTTAGAATGTGATTGATGGAGATCTTTGTGAGCAGTTCAACTCCATGGAGCCCAACAAGCAGAAGAATGTCTCTGAAGAGCTGGACCGAACCCCACCTGAAGTGTCCAAGAAGCTTGAGGATATTCGGACCCGTTATGCTTTCTGAGCCCGTCTTCATCTGGGGGCTTGTCAGATCGCCCCTCTTTGTTCCCATCACTATTGTCTGGCTTCTGCCGCATGGCAGGAGAACAGTGATGTGATAATTAAGACTGTAATGTTAAAGCCAATAGCTCTGCACCCTCAGCTCCTCCTTTGGAACAACTGGTTCTCCTTAAAGTTGGCACTGAGGTCCGCTCCTTGACATAATGTGCTTCAGGGTGGAACACAGTATTCCTTATTCCCAAAGCCATCCCTAAATTCTGGCTCTTGTCTACTTTTGTACACACTCTTAATTTTCATTGTTTTCCTGTAAATACAGTTTTATACAATGTTGCTTTGTGAGATGGAGGGAGGCAAGCAAGGGTGCAGCCATGCTGGTTGCAATGTGGCTTAGTTCTGCCCTCTGAACCCTCCCGGATATATAAAACTTAATTTTTAAGGTGGCCAGCATCAGTGTGTCTTTTTCTGGGGAATGATAATTCAAGAGAAAAGTTTGAGCCTAAGTTGGAACAATAACTAAATGTTACTTCTAGGTACCTATGTAGACATCTTGGTTCTAGTGGTTTCTTCTGTTTTTGTTCTTTGCTATAGAGGTAAAACGTGTGCTCGCCAACCATGTGAGCATAGCCCCTCTTACTCCTGGATATCGTAAAGGAAGGGGTGCTGTCCCTTCCCTTCAGATCTTTGCTACTCTGAAGTCTTAAATTTAGCATGCATGATTCCCAGATGGGGAGTCTGATTTCACAGTGCTTGCTTAAGTGGCTCCCGAAATTTTGAGTCTGGTGATTGGGAGTCACTGAGCACAGATGAACTCACATACTAACCTACCCCTGGAGACAATCATATGGGCCCTACATACACATAGATGACCTGGAGGGGGATGTATCTGCAGCACATATCTTGGCCAGGCTGCAGATTGGCCTTGAGGAGTGCGTACATTAGGAAGGACTACCTACTGCCATCCTTTTGGCCCCAAGTGACTTACTTTCAGAACTCTTCAAGCCATAATTGGAAATTCCTCTAACCGGACAATTTTATGGAAAGCCCTAATCTTTTTGTTTGTTTTGTTTTGATGTTTGGGTTTTTGAGACAGGGTTTCTCTGTGTAGCTTTGGTTCCTGTCCTGGAACTAGCTCTTGTAGACCAGAGCTAGCCTCGAACTCACAGAGATGCCTCTGCCTTCCAAGTGCGTGTGTCACCATTGCCCGGCTGGAAAGCCCTAATCTTTAAGGCAGCTCTCTAGCACATTGAACCTGGAGATACCCAAACTCACTGCTGGTCTCGGTGTATAATAAAATAAAAGTTGAATTTCTCCACTCGGCCACCTAAATTGTCTAAACTCTCTACATCTTATCTGGTAAGAATCGTGACTGGGAGTGGTTACACATAACTTGCTGGCTTCCTCAACGCAGTAAGCAAGTCAGGCTGGCCTGCTTCTGCCCTTCTAGTGCTGGAGTTGCAGGTGTGGACTGGTTCCCAGCTTTGTGGTGTAGAGTGGGTTTCTGATACCTACTGGGTCTGGCATTAGAAATCTCAGTCCTGCTGGGCCCTGGTGTTGCACACCTTTAAACCCAGTACTTGGGAGGTAGAGGCAGATGAATTGCTGAGTTCAAGGACAGCCAAGGGATACACAAAGAAACCCTGTCTCAAAAAATAAAGTGCCCCTGTTTAAAACAAACTTTAATAAGTGTTTAGCAAATGGGTGAGGCTGAATTATTTAAGGATGCCACCATGGCCAGCTCAGTGGATTGAGCAAGTAGGTAAATGGGGAATTGAGAAAAGGAGGGGGTCATGTAGGTTTGCTCTTACCCTCTAAATCCCCTGCTACTGGGATCTGAGAGCTGACGCAGTGCTGCTCAGCTGCCTCAGCTTTTCCCTGACCTCAGGGCAGGAGATTTGCAGATGTTGCTTCCTTTGGAAGATGTCTTGCCAAGAATAGCATTCCTGTGGGGAAGGGGTTCGAGTTGGACTGTTCCTGGAATGTTGCTGTTTTTGGTTTGTGTAGATGCATTGCTTGCAGGACAGCTGCCAGGGCTGGGAATGTACTCCAGGCTTGCTGCCTCACAGGGAGAGGGCGGGCGTCCAGGATGCTGGGTGCTCTCAACTCACCCTTTTTTGAGGGCCGGAAATGCTGAGGTATTTTTTCATCTACCCAGCTTTCAGGATCTGTTAATTCCTTAGTTCTGTTTTTCTATTCCAAGTAGAAATGCCATGTTTGCATGAGTCATCCACTTGTTCATTTACATATGAAATACTGTACATGTGTACGTTTTAAGTTTATTCATGCTTTAATCTCTTGAAAGCTTGTCCACAAAATACTGGTTGGAGAGCAGATAGCTAGTATGGGCACATGGCAGAGACTCTGAGCACTTAAGCTTGGCTCTTGATTTTCTGGGGAACTGAGTTCTAGTGAACTGAAGCAACAGTATTAGCTGGTTGTCAGTTTGTACCAGCATAAGCAAGAGCTGTTGCTTGGAAAGCTTGAAAAGCCAGCATTGGAAATGTTGGCCACTGAGAGTCATGAACACCAGTTCTCTCCTGGGTCTGTTCTACCACCAGGTTGGAAGAGAGTGTTGGTGACATGACAGCCTCCCACTGAGGATGGAGCAGAGTGAGGAAGCGTGGAACGTTGAGTCTCAGAACTTAAGGGCCTCAGGTCAAAAGAGCACAGCTTGGGAAGTTTTAGGAAAAATCGGGAAATCCTGCATTTAAAAATTGAGGCAGGGTAGGCAGCTAGTAAGAAACCTGTCATTCAGACCCAAGACTTGTCTACATAGACAGCTGGTATCCACTCAAGAACCTCGCTTTTGAGTGTTTGAGTCCAGTGCAAGTGACCTAGACCTCACCAGCTGTGGCTGGCACTTGTTCAAAGCAAAACAGCAAGTACTAGTTGGAAGTTACAGTTTCAGGAAAGAGGTTCACTTTGAGGTTGCTGAAGGGCTTTCTTCAATTCAGCTCCATCCAGACAGTCAGAATCTAGAGCTAGCCTGCCTCTTTCTGGCCCCTGTCTGGATCTCATTTGCAAACCACATACAGACTCACCCAGCAGACCCCTTCTGTGAAATATTGAAATAAGAGGTTTTGTTTTTAGGTTTTACTGTTTTGTGGCACATACTGGCATGTGCATGGTATGTGGAGGTGTGTGCATTCAGGGAACAACTGGTACAAGTAATTTGTCCACGTGGAACCTTCGGGTCAAACTTAGATTGTCAGGCTTGGCAGCAGATGCCTTACTGGCTGAACCGTCTTGCCAGCCCACGAGTTGCTTTTGGTAAGGTTTGGGAAGATCTTCATAGGCTTCTTTTGAAAGTCCATAGTAATATGTAATCAGGACATGAGGATAAAGACAAGTACTAGATTTGCTCTAGGCCTTGGACTGGTGCTGTCAGACACACGGGACTCTTGCCCTTAAGTAGCTGGTGCTGTAACTAGAGAAGATAACTTTACCCACGAAGCCTTGAAAAAACGACTGTGAGAGGCCATGTGGTAAAGAAATCCTTGGAAAAGCATTGGACAGTGGAATCTGCTAACGAATGTGGCTGTTAACAGGGGCGCTGACTGTCCTGAGAGTGGTCTTGGCTCTGTTAGACCTGCTACCACCTTCATCCTGAACTACCGGCCTAGAAATGGGACACCACACCAGGTCAAGAGACCCAAGAGCACAACAGTGCTGTCTTGTGGCTGTGTCCTCATCTCTACCTCTTCTGCCCGACAACGCCTTGGCAGAGCTTCTGTGCAGGACCTGCGCAGTGTGGTTCACAGTGGCTGCTGCGAGGGGGTGTGGGGGTGGGGAATTGGCGGGGTGAATTCCAGTGTGGGCATATTGTCTTGCTGCAAGTTCAGGGAATCCAGTTTTCTCAATCTAATTAAGAAAGCATTTCTTGAACAACACTCATTAGCATTTAGAATAGGGCAAGCCCTTGTGTCCAGACCAGGATTCCCAGCCTAAGCTTGGAGTCAGATGTTAATTGAGTGGGCCCTGACTGAGGAAAGCACAGCTCCCTCCCTTGTTTGATAAACGTGATTCCTTCAACACTCCACCACCACCATTGTGATGTCTGGTGCTGGAGGGGCTGAAGGATCCTTTGGGGAACAGGGGTAGCTACCCCTAACTATTCCAAATACAGTCATAAAATTAGGGCAGTGCGGTAGCGCACACCTAGAATCACAGCACTCCAAAGCAAAGCTCTAGACCAGCTTGAGCTACATAGCAAGTTTGAAACGAACCTGGGCTACACTGAGACCTTACTTTAAAAAAGAAAAAGTTGGCTCTAAAAACTTAGCAAAGAAAGTGGTGCTGTCCCTGCCGCCTAGAGCCAGCCACTCAGCCTAGTCACCACTACCAGGCAAGCAAAAGTAACTGAGTCTACAGGTGTGGCCGAGACTCCGGAGGTTTCCATGAGGGCTGTCTCGGGCTTTGTGATTAGACCTCGGGAACCAGCTGTGGAATCTTGGGTAGATACACCACCCTGAGCTCAGTTCCCTGTCTGTAGATGGGGTCGACTGGGTGCTCAGCAATTGAGACCCCAACAAACTCCCCTAGCCACCGTCAGCTATGGTTCAGTGTTAGAATGTAGAGAATCTTGTCTGATTCGAGTACTCTGGAGAGGGCCTGGAATTGTCCCTAAAAACCAGTCCAATATACAGAGAGACGAGGGTTGGGTTCTAAAGACACCCCCATACTCACCCTCAGGGCTCTCTGTCCCCTTGCCTTGGCTGTGTTTGAGGCTCTCTCCTACTCCACACTCCAAGACAGGCTGGGGCCACATGGCCCCGCCCCGCCCAGCCCTTGCTGGCTCCCGGTCTAGAATCAAGTCTGAGCTGCTGTAGCTTGTGTTCCCCACCCTCTGACGGGAAGACTGGATTGTAGGCTGAGGGGCCGGCACAGCCTCTCCCACAGGACATTTACTGCCACAGTTCCAAGGCACCTGCTCCGGGCCCTGAGCAGCTTGAAGCTTCCAGCAGTCCGGAGAAGCCCACGTTTCTGGCAGGTGAGCAGGGAAACGGCCCTCGGGACTTGGTTTCACGTGGCCGCTGTGATGGATGCTTCTCCCTCACCAGTTTAACTGCTGTTTCACTCTGCTTCAAGTCAGAGAGACTTGAGCTGGAGTTGACGGGAGGGTGCTGACAGAGAAGCTCAGAAATGCTATAGACTGTCTGCTGCGGGCTTTTAGTCTTTAACCTTTGCTTCGGCAGCCTTGCTGGAGAAAAACAGAGCCATATAACTCAAATTAACTTCCCTGTGTGGCCGTGTGAGTTTTGTCAGTGAGCAAACCCACATTCTGAATTGGTTTTGGCTTCCAGAGAATGGCAGATTGCCTTAGGTCTGTACATCTTAATATGCTATGTGCATGAATTATTGCTTGTATGAACCTCCTAGTCAAAAGTTAATTGAGGCTAGCTGGCACGGTGGCACACACCTGTAATTCCAGCACGTGGGAGGT